AGCATTTGCAAAGTTTACAGAGAACTGCAGGTCATGAAACTGTGCAAATGACGTTTGAATTCTAGAAAGCCCCAACACCACGGATGAGAAATGTCATAACAATTGGCAACAACAATTTCTGTAACACTTTGGATCACTTGGGAAATTTTCCACAGTGTAGCCCAAGTAACCAATCTACAAGGATTAATGTTGAAATGTAAGAAAGGAACACTGAATGAAGGAAAAGCATTCTGACCTAATTCTCACATCATTTAAGACTTATTTTAATTACCAATTCAAATATGAATGAAACAACAATTCAACGAAAAGTTGGCTTCAGAAACGGGAACAACTTCAGGAACAACTGGCTTCAGAAACAAGGTAATGTGTGTCAGCTGAGGAAGAAATCAGTTCTGTTAAAAGTGAGCTTCAGGTACCATTTAAATATATGCCAGACTTGAAAATTCTGGATATGACAACAGCCAATATTAACCGTTTTTTGGTTTTTTTTTTAGTTTGCAAGAGATTTTCATTTGCAATTTGTACTTTCTAGTACTACTTTAAAATTATGCTATTGAATTTCTGAATAAAGTACTTAATTTGCATTTCTCTAAAACATATTTTGATTAGAAAAGGAGCTACCTAGCTAACTGGGCCATCTACAATACAATGGCGAGTTGATTGTTTTTACTTACTTATTAAAAACAGCCAGAGAGATTAGTTGACTCACGCTAACATCAAACTCCAGATCAGCTGCAGATCCAGAAACTGCCTACATCTTCTGTCTCAATACTTTTATGTGAAGCCATGTTCTTTCTCTCATAGGAGTTTTCCATGATGATCTACCTCACTCTACCTCTTCTACAAAGCAAACTACCAATATGAGTGAAAACAGAAGCCCTTGAAGATAAAACGATATGGTACACGAACAAGTTACTATGAGGTGAGACAAGTGTGATCTTGCCACGGAATAAATGTGAGCAGAGGGACAGCCCACTGCATAGTAGCCTGCGTGCACCCATTTCACACTCCAGTTTACCTTGCACTATCTTGTCTACAAAGTCGTTTTACGACACCGGAAAAAATCACGTCATCCCTCCGTGATTGTTTTCTCTCTCAATTCCTTATTCTGTTTTAGCTCATTAGTCTGGGAACAGCTTGAGATAACAATCCGTCTTGGATTTGAAGAGTGTCTAGCAAAATAGACTCCCTGGATCAAGGTATCTAGACACCCCTGCAATAATAAATAGAAGAAATCTTATTGACCTACAGATAATCTAAACTGATCTATGTCATTATGCTGAAACAGTGAAACTCCCTACGACAACAGCTTCAAGAGGAAGTAGACTAAAGTCCTCTTTCTATTCCTGTAAGGCAGACAGATTGTATTCCTTGAAATCTACCGTACAGGAGGTAAATTAATTCTTTAGAATCAGCCTTTGAAAAGGAAGTTGTTAATGTTTATAGATATATCGAAAGACACAGCTGTTCTTTTTCAATAACAGAGGTATATACAGAACAAATTCCTCTTTTAGTCAGACGTTTATCACATCCTTATTTCAAAGAGTAATAGTCATTACACAGTAAAGTTCAAAGAGTGCTTTGGGTTTCAGAAGTGATATATGTTAATTTGGAATGCACACATGATTTTTCAAACCTTTTCAATGAGCAGTTATGAAACTGCTTATGCATACAGCATAAGCAAAGTACAGCAAAGTAGGAAAGGCTTCTTAAGGCTCAAGCTTGGTTTTCTTGGTTATATTTTGTACTCCCTCACAGGTAATCTTAAATCTTGAGGGACCTCTAGATCACACGTTCAACACCTAAAACCTTAGATAACAGAAAGAGAAACAGACAGACAGCAGCTTCGATTCACTGATAATACTGAAAATAAAACAGGCAAATCTAAAGAAATGATGGTCTAAACCCTCATATGCCAACAGCGTGGTTTCCATTTCTCAGGGAGGAACCTTCCCACTTCTGAAATGCTCATTATCAATGCACAACAAACGAACTCAGTATAATGGGGTAGCACCTTTACCGCTGCACTAATGTAATAATAAACCAAAACATATTTACTACATATATTTATTTGTGGCATTCACCCATACTGAGAATACAATTACAAATTATGCAGACAATACATACTAAAAGACAACATGATTATTCAAGATACAGAGTATTATTAACAGAAATGTATTTATTTAGAGAAGTAAATGTAATTTAGGTATACTATGAGTTTGTATTTCTCTTCATGAACAGATGTACAATAATTGAAATATTCAGAAGAGGAGTATGCTCTGGTTTTTTGTTTTGTTTTAGTTTTTTTAAGAGACTTTCCTTTCTGCAGCACTCTGGATGCTAGAAAAGTATCGTTTCATTAACCTCTAACTTAAGAAATGAGATCAAGAATCACTCAGATGCAATTCAGAATGGGGGCCAGCTCAGTGAAGCTCACGTCACACATCAAAACAAAGACAACAACCCTCTTCACTCAAATCCATAAACAAGAAAGAAAAATATACATGATAGCAGAACAGTATGTAGTTACTTGTATCAATACTTACTGTAATTTATAATTTTATGTTTGATGTTATTTAACAACAATTTAGGAATGGCTAAGTAAAAAAAATTATTCATTAGGTTTGCAGAATTCATTTTGTTTGGGATTTTCAAGGCAATGGCAACTAAGGGACTCAGATGTCTAATCAGCATAGAAGGAGAGAATCCGCTTTCTTTGAAAACCTCCAACTTACTACATAGTACCTTTCTAGCCTTCATTAAAGATTATTTTAACTGATTCATATACCTAGGTTATTTACAAACAAAGGATTTCACAGCTAAGTACTGAATGGGTAAAGATTTAATTTCATACAATGTTCCTAAATATTAACATTTTAAATACTTTTATTCTGCATACCCAGAAAATAATTCATAAGCCTCTAAGTGCTGTCTGAAAACAACTGAAATGGAAAACAATTCTAGAAAGGAATTCTATTCAATCAAGTCCTCTCTGCAAACATGAAAACAATACAATTATATGGTTCAGTCTGGTCCTTGTGGGAGGAAGGAAAAGTTACCCTTCGTGACATATTTCATAAAGACAATGGCCTTACAGAACTGTTACATACAGAGCAGAACACCTAAATCGCGTTTCAACCACCCTTACAAAAAAAGGTTCGCTTAGTAGCATTTCAACAAAAAGGCAAAATTTTCAGCCTAAGGCTGAAACAAATTTACTTCCAAAGCACAACAAACAGCTTTGTTCTACAAAATTTACTTCAGGCAGGTATTAACACCACCGAATTCATCTGGGGAAGAAACACGACATTAACCTAGTAAATAAAGGAGAGATCTATACATTAAAGACATAATAAAACTTGAACTACTACTCATTCTTTTTATAAACTAGCAGATATGGAACTATGGGGAGGCACTAAAAGAACTATGAATTTGCAGCTTATTACTGTCTATATATCAGAATGTGTTATTATATTATTCAGATTTCTCGAGTAGGACTTCTAAAATAATGTTTTTCTTTCAACTGAAGCACACACAAAAATGCAACAATAGATCTACCTCTCTTCATAGGGAAAATAAATCCAATTTGGTTCTGTACTAGGATATATTTTTCACGCCCAGGAATTTAATATTCATTATGAAAGGCCTTTTCTAATCATAGCATTTTATCAACAGAGAGGATTATCTTCACATCTTGCTTGCAAGTCAAGATAAGTCAGAGGTAGCTTAGGAATGCTTTAGAATTTAGTGTTTTACTTGAAATGAATTAATCCCTCTTTCAAAGGGGTTAATAATAAGTACAAAAGGCAAACAGTATATACAGCTGCCACTGCCTGCACCAAGAAAATAATTCCAAGAAGCTCAAAATAAGATTAGAACAGGGAAAAGCACAGTGCGCTTCTTTGCATTTGCTTCAGTGCACCAGTTCAGGCTGGTTTTCTACAAAAGGAAGCACCCCACTAACATAGTATGCTATTCCAAGTGACAGAAGAGCAATGACAATGATGAGGAGCAGCACCCTCCAGAAGCCCAGGTCTTCCACAAACTCTTGCCATGTTGTGCGGAAACTGGAAAGAACTCCTTCACCTTGCTGTAGGTTTGGATTAAGGAGGGAATGGCTTTCCATCGCACTACGAAGGATTAAAGTTAAAAATACATCAGAGCAAAAGAATGCACCTTTAAGTATGACAGTAATCCTACTAAGTGCAACTGAAACATTCTAAATTAAAAATTAAACCCACCTGCAGATTTATAGCATTGCCTTTGCTAAATCAAGACAAAGCAGGTCAGGAAAGACTCCTAACTCTAACCTTAAGTTAGCTGAAAGGAGGTTTTATTAACTTGTGCAAAGAGAATTATATTTGTATCTGTACAACTGCACTGGGTTTGCAGGCTTGCCACCTAGAAGCCTTGAAAAATCAGTCCCTGTAATTTCTACTACATATGGCTTAGTAAAATTTAACGAAGCATAAGCTGAAACCTCAAGGGGCACAGCTCTTGTTAATAAAACAAAAATTACGATTTAAAAATAAACTCTGATGAATAAAATGGAAACTTTAACCAATATAATTTTGATTCTGAACTCTGGAGTGATCTTTACTACTCTCCTCCGTGTCTTTGTTACAGAGGCCTCTTCCCTAGCATAAAAATATCACAGAAAACAATAAATTTGGATAACAAGAAGTTCAGAAACTTTCTGATCTTCAAGACAAGTTGGCATTGCTGTGTTTTCTGCCATATGGCGTTCAGAAGCTGCTTTGATGTTTTAACATTCCACTACCAAACCATCAGCCTCCCTTAAATTGTCAGACTGTAAGTTAGCGACTAGAACTCTCACTTTTAAATGAGAAACAAATATAAAGTCAGAATCATACAGTCACCTTGTCAATGCATTGCCTTTAGAAAAAATGTAAGTTGTTTCAAATACTGCATGACTTCTTGTATCATTCTCCCAATTTTGCTGGCTTTACAACTGGCTTATAACAGGTAACCTTCTCTGTTGCTGTATGAAAAAACTCATGAAGAATAGGAAAACTTTCTCATCACTTGATTTCACTTACATAAAATTTTAGCCATCTGCACATTCTCACTTGAGTGAAATTACATACACAGGCATTTACAGGATCAGGCTCGGACAAGCACAAACCAACTCCATACACAATGATGTCAACAGCAGAAGGTAAGCAGAGAAAAACCAATTTCTTTCCTTCCTTCTAATTGCTTTCAGTTACCATATTCCTAGTTCTCTCTTATAGAAATAATAAAAGAAAACATTTCAGGGAAAACCAATTACCAAGTCAAAACTAATTGTAGAAACACTATTGTTCTTGGTGACAATAATAAATTGACAAATGATTATCAGAAAAAAGTCTCATTTATGAATCCCTCTTTTGAGATTATACCACAGAAACCTTCACACTATTCATATGGTATTTTTTCTTCGGATGTACAGCCATTGAAGAATAATTAGCCTAAACTCCCATAGCTTGCTGAAGTATTGCAGTGTCACATGGGGAAGATTTCAGAAATTGCCTATTAAGCAGCTTGTCTTTTTTGTTTTTTAAATATTTATCTTGCTGTAAAGCTATTTTTGCTTGCCCATAGCTGCAGGGTTTAGTCATCTTCCTTGCTTATTATGATTTGCCCAACAAAACAAAGGGTTTAATAAAAGACAGCCACTGGTGTAGAACAGAACTACTCACTGAGTACTAACTAGTTAATACATAACCACAGACAGGTTAAATAGAGGTGCAATGCAATTTAAGTGGAAAGATCACATGCTTGCTTATTAAATAGAAAAGGGTACATAGAAAACGCTTTTGCTGTTTTATATTACAACCCAATTAAAATCAATGTTATCCAAGATATTTTTTCTTATTACGAATTACGGCTGCCTAAGAAATGGTAAGGCAGCAATGCATCCTACAGAAGTGCTTGTGCCACACAACCCAGACAGATGTTCTCTTTCCAACACAACGTGGAAGTTCACATTTGGATGCATTTGTGGGTGCAGGCACAGGTCACGCTGGGCTGTGTAGATGGACAGATCATCTGCACTGTAAGATGGACAGAGCGAGCTCTGCCTCCTGACAGCACAGTGCCACTCCTCACTGGCAGGAGTGCAAAGCAAGAGAAAATAAATTTGACTCTGGAACCTAGTTTTGGTCTCTGCTTCCAGAGCAGCAGCAACTGTATGTAACAAGGAACAGAAAACTTAAGTCAGAGACTGTTTGTAGAAAGAGTGATCATTATTTCTCCATAGGTTCATACATAATGAAAGAGAGTTGGGGGGGCGGTGGGGGAAGAGGACAGAAGACATTCATCTAAGTGTCTGTAAAACGTGAAAATAATACTAAGAGGAAGGAGTGAAACTGTGGAGGTCTGAAAAGCCAACTGTTACAAAGACATTATTTATTTACAAAGCAAACAGCATACAAGCTCACTTGCTTTTGCTGCTGTAGGCATCTGATATTTATTATTTTTAAAATAATGTATTTCAGACATTTAAACACATTCACAAACAAGCTGGGTAATGCACTGTTTATGTCTCTGTGCCTCTCCCCAAGGAGAGTTGCTGACTTGCTTGCCAAAGCAAACAATATAACATTTATGAAGGTCAAATAACAGAAAGGAAGCTATGTTCATTAAAGGGACACTATCGAATCAAAAATCGAAATTTAAATGGGGCTGAGCTGTTGGTCCATATGTTTAAACAAAACCCACATAAATGCATTTCTGTGTGACAAGCAACTGTCAATAAAATTTAGTTAAGTCAGGAAGGTAATATGCACAAATTCTAATAATTTATACCCATGTGATTTTGAGAATAATAATAAATTTTCTATTCCAGGGCTTAAAACAGTCTCTATGATGAGTGGGGTCACCTAATGTATAAGAAAAAACTTCCAATCTGCTCACTGGGAGTATCTCGCATGATTTCCATAATTTTGCTGGTTTCACGTTTTCTGTTTACGCAACTTAGATAACAGCTCCATCTACACAGTTTAATTTTCACTTAGGGTGAAGGCCGTGTACATTTGACACAAACTCAACAACAGTTATGTGACAAAACTCCCTGTCTTTTGTGATATAATGTTCCAGCAGTCACAGCTCATGATCATTATAATAGACAATATAAAAATAACAAATTTGAATAAATTCAGTATTAGAGCAAGTATTCCAAACAACATTGATATCCTGTTTCCAATATAAATTAACAAAAGAAAACAAAACAGTACTGGAAAGGTCTCTTGCATTATTAATCTCAGTCCCATGTTCTGTCATGTTTACTGGCAATTCAATGGTTTCTGCAAGAGAATTAGCCTCCTTTGAAACCTGCAAAGCTTCTTGCCTCATCTAAATCCTATAGGAAGGCTGTCTTCGAAGCTTGTTGTTAAAAAACTGCCAATTCGCAATCAAAAAAGTATCTGTGGTTTATCTGTATCCTTTGGCTCTTGAGCTATCATCAGTTTTTGTCTTAACCAGTTATTTCGCATTGTTCAAAAGCAGTATTTCTTGTCAGCAACCACACACCTCTCAGCCTTCTCTGACAGGCTAAAATGAGCTCTAGTTGCCTCCTTTTGCAAGAAGACATTCTGTTCCCTTGAGTGCCAAAGTAATGCTTCTCCATGCTTCTTAAAAGACAAATTAAACTTCTTTGAAGGGGGCGAATCAGCATTATAAAATTTACTACGCAGCAGAAGTTACCATAGCTTTTTACAACGGCACTGGCAGTTTCCTTTATGTAGTGGAAATAACTCTTTTTGCACGTTCTAGGACTTTTTTAGGGTATCATCAACTCCTGGAACCGACTAATACATCAACTCTTTCTTCCTGTACCCTCGTTTTCCACTGAGGAACTTCCATTTTACAGTATACAGCTTTACGTAAATGAAGTTGCATTTTGTGCTACTGAATCACAATTTATACCTATTAACTTCCTCTCCCTTTTCATACCGTATTTTTGCCTATGCCATCCCAATTTCCCTCTGGGTTGCCTATATCTCACTTCTTAGTATAACTAACATGCTACTACTTTCTATGCCAGTATCGTTTATAAAAATTATAAGTAAGGACAGTTCCAGAACCAGACCTTTAGGAATTCATTAGTAACTTCCCTCTAATCCAATACTTTTCCTGAAACTGTCAGCAATTTTCCTGAAATCTTCTATTCTCCTTTAACTATCTCTTTAGCCACCACGAAATTCTTATTTTATTCTCCATGTTTTCCAGGACTACTACCAATAGCAATTTCATATATGGCACTGTATCAAATCCTTTTTTCAAGTTCAGATAGATGGAAAGTCTGCTATCCCTTCTGTGCGTAGACAATCCATCTTATCGAAAGGATGTTAGGTTAACCTGTGATACTGGCATTTTGCATTTCACCCCATTTTCCCTTTGGATTTGTGATAAGTGGTAGAATATTTATTTTTGGGAGTCTGTAATGGAAAATTAGTACTTATTTTAAAAAACTTCCACCATAAAATAAAAATCTCAGTAAAAAACGTTCTTTTTTTCTTACATTTGATCTGCTTAAAGAAATTTTTCCAAAATGTAAAATTTGATTTTTATTTGGTCTGACAATACCAGGCCAAATGTGATATTATCTGTCCTGAGAACAAACAATCAAGTCAATTGCAAAAATCTAAAAGCCATATACATTCTTTCTCCTAGTCATTATTTTTGTTTTGTAAATACCTTTCACTTTCAGCAGTTTGCATTGTTTCCAGCTTTGAGTGAGCTCCTCTGTTAAATCCTTTCACCTCTTGCTCCTCTAAAGATTCCAGCAGTCTAATCACATCTTTATTCACTCCCCTTCGTTTTGCAAGAACAAGTGGTGTTGCACCTTGGTGATTGCTGAAATTACCCCACAAAAGGACATGAGAATAAAATAAACTTTTAATATAGAAATTTTGTAACAAGACACTCAGCATAACACATTACAATTTAGTAAGTCCTCAGGACTATTTTCTATCATATCAGAAAGTAAGAAATTCTTGTCTATACAAGTTATAGCATAACTCACTATAAAAGAAAATCAGTGTGTTTAGGTTTGAAATTGCACAACTCTTTTTCCTCTAAATAAAATCAAAATTCCTAGTACTCTAATCTAATTGGAATCTCTGGGTGTTATAACAAAAAATAAACAGTAGATTTATGGCAATGTTCAAAATTAAGTTTAATTTCAAGACGGAATTGTGCAATCTGGTTCCTCATAGTTCCTTTTTCCATGAGGGTATTAGGACATCAGGCAAAAATGAAATAAAACACAGATGGTCCCTCTGCTAAGATTAAAATAATATTGAATAGGAGCAGAGCTGCCTTCAGACTGGGGATTTTCAACAGAGTCGTTTGAAATGAGAAAAAAAACCCAACCAACTCACAACCCATAAAGAATCTGGTCTGCCTATAACTAGTTTTGCTGAGTTGAAAACATTAATGAGGGACAGGTGAAAAAGAGACAGATTTAAAAACTCTAAGGTTTTGAAGTTACTACTGTTTTTTGCATGTGTTGTGAATATGCAGAAAGTTCCACAAACAAAATAATTCAGTTACTGGAACGAAACAGCTAGTTATTTTGCATCTTGAGAGCCTGCATCTGAGCACTGGCATCTGACAGCTGCTGGAAGCCAGAAGGAAAGAATATACAATATTTAAAAGAAGGGCTGAGTCACAGCCTTTGAGGGAGGGGGAAAACACTGAAAGGAAGCATTGTTACCAAAGGAGTATGGGAATGAACTGACACACACATATACTGTATTTTCTTTGTCTTATACAGTACAACAATTAAAACAATAGAACTGTGGTGGAGAAAATTCTTTTAAAGCGGTCAATGTGATTTTTTCTTTGGTGCCAACCACCCACACCTGGCTGTCTGGCCAAACCAGGACAGCAACGTCATCAGTGAAGCAGAATTGGATGCAGCGGCCCACACCAGCAGCTGCTATTTTTATTTGCTTTGCTTGTTGTACAGACTAGCAGAAGTGGCCTCCTATTGTTTTCCTGCCTGCTTATTTCATGTTTCTATTATGTGATATCTTAAAAAAGGTGAATTGCACCAAATATAGCATTTCAGCAACAGCAGGTTTATATGCAAGGCTCCAGCGAGAGAAGACTAATATATTATAAAATATGTGCTGTAAAAAAAAAAAAAAAAAAAGTGACTTACCAAATATCAATTTTAAGTCCATTAGAAACCAGGAACTGGATGGTATCCACATGCCCACAGAGATGAAGGGCTGTGTTACCTTGGTAATCAGTGGCTAGCAGGTCAGCACCAAATTTATGCAAGAGTTGACAGATGTCTACATTTCCTCTGGCTGCAGCAAGGTGAAGGCCAGTTCGGCCTCGGCTGTCACGAATATTTGGGTCGAAACCGCTCTCTAACAGTCGTTTGGAATAGTTAAAATCTCCATCAATGCAAGCCTGCAGCAGCGGCACATTTGTCTGGGAAGAGTCGTTTACAAAAACGTAGGACATTGTTCTGTTTCTCTTTGGAGTAGGCAGCTAACCTGCAAGTAAAAGTGGGAAGAAATGATGGTGAAACCAGGCAAATGAACACAATATAAATACTCGGTAGACTGCTCAGGTTCCCAAACAAGAATGGAAACTAGCTTATAAACCAACTCTGAAATCCTCCTATCCTAGACATTAACTTTGTGTGCTGCATTCCCTTCTGGTAATATGGAAAGAGCTCCTTTTAGTCTTATACCTCTGGAAACAGCAGCAAAGCTTTGTTATTACAGAAAACTGATAAGATCAATGCCACAAATGCAAGACAGGTTAGCTTTCACCAAGCAAGAGATCACATGTAGTAGTATTGATATTAAAGGGCAAAACACTGTGGATCAGAACTGAAAGGGAGAAGAACCACCTTTCATAAACTGGGAAACTATAAACAATTCAGTTAATAGATACAGTGACACTAACTGCAATTCTTACTAGCTATAAGCAACGCTAAGCCAGTGGGATTTCCACCGTCTGAATTTGAAGTTTGATGCACAAAGTACAATCAGTTGCTGAAAATGCTTGAGTACTATAAATACTAATTCTTTCATTTAGCAAGAAATATATTTTTTCAATACCTTTTGCAGAACATTATTTTTATAGTCCCACGGATACACAAACTACTGAGAAACAAGAATAGCAATACAGACCATAGAAAACTGGCTGTATTATGTGAAATTGCCAACCTGAAAGTGAAAACTGAAGTGGGTCCAAGGATGACAATGGTAAAATCAAGTATGGAGCTATTGTGGGTTCAACCAGAACCCAATACGGAGAAGCCCAAATGTAGTTTCCCTGGATTAATACTAAATAGTCCTTTCCTGTATCAGGACCTAGAAGAGGAAGATAAATGTTGTTTCACCATGGATTTCTTGATACAGAACACTTAACAAACAATTATTTAAGTTTTGCTGAAGAATAGATTAAGGATGAGTCAAATAATGAATGTATGATGACACTGTGTGCTTACGGGACACAGAAAAGATGACTTGAAAACAATAAGGAAAAAAGACAATGGTTATGCAAGAGGATGGTAAAATGTGCAACAGTATGAGGCAACAGTAAGAAATGAAAACATCCAGGAGACTGGACAACAAAGCTTTGCACTGCCTCACAGAGAAGGCAAAAAAGAAAAAAAAAATCATATAAACAAGTAAAAATCCTTAGAAGAACTCTCAATACAGACATGACACAGTTCAAGTGACAGGAAGGAAAAGTGATTTTACTAGATAAGCTTTGAATGGAAACTGAACTGAAACTTCACTTGACACAGTGTATTTCACTTGCCCAGGGTTTGTATTTTGCGCTCATGATGTAGCAGTGTTGATTAACTATCTGAACCTCTTATTCAGACTGCTACACGCAGATTTAAATTTTCTCATCTATATAAGGTATCCTTCCACATCAGTGCACTCATTCAGCCGAGAGAATGGAAACATGGCCAGGAGCCAAAGAATTCGATTTAAAATCTCTCCTTTTTTTGGGGAGTTTATAATGTCTACATTTTATAGCTCTTCCCCCATGTTTTAGATCAAATTCAAGATCAAAGTATCTACAGAAGTAATTTCAAAATGTTTACACACTGGTCTGATTAACAGCTGTAGCATTTGGGGCTGTTGAGTTTAATATATCATATTCAAACTTCCCCAGTTTGTATTTCCTATCAGGACAAATTCTGCTACATGTATCAACACTGCCTAGCTTCCCTCTCTCTTGGACGCAGAAGAGAGAGAGATAGGAATAACTTCTGTGTCCTGGTATCTGTACAAGGAATGATTGTAAGCAGAGTACGTTCCCCGAGGCTGCAAGTATGTTTTTAAGCATGTGATGGTGTATCAGTGGCTCAAACAGCCTTTTTCACAATCATATCCAATAGCAAAAGGACAGTCCACTGATGTACCATAAAACACTTCATGCAAGACCGGTGTCATTTAGGTCACTAACAACTTTCTTATAACCCAACACAAAAAGAAAAGATAATTTGCTTATTCAAATTTCCAACAAGTTGGTCACAAAACCCCTGGATGTTGCAAAGCTAGGATTCCCAGCTGACTGCAATTTCAGTTTTCTTGCCCCTTTCCTACCCAAATCATACATGATACCAGAATGCTTCTTCAACTCTGCTAGTCCAATCTTTGCTGAGAAAAACATTGGGCCCAGTTTCAGTACGATGCGATTGTGACCTTTACATTCTGCACTAAATCTTCCCTAAAGCAAGATCATAAATCATCTAAAAACCTCCAATTATCAGCCACAGTAACAGCTCATCAACAACACAAAACCCTACTTGTACTTGATAAAAGATCGTGGTTCGCTTTTAAAATAATATTTGAGAGTTTAAACCTCTTTAATAAAAGAAGGTCTAACACAAATCAACAACAGAATATTATACTGGAAGAGACATGCTATTTGAGAAACAGTATGGCATGCTCTGTTGAATGTAAGCTAATGTTTGTATTTTCATTCCAGACGTGTATATCTGGTAAGGCCTTACAGAATTCCCCGTCACTTCACATACAACTCTGATGAAACATTAGCTAATAATACCAGAAAAAAAAATATGTCACCGCCTTATCTTCTCAGGAAAGGAAGCACAAAGATTAGCAGTTATCAGAAAGTGTAACTGGAAGTAATTCTGATTCAGAATTTATTATCACTGGAATCTTTTAGAATTCATTGCTGAAGTGTAAAAGACTAAAGTGAAACCTTAGTACTTCACAGTAAGAAAGGAAAAAAACCCAACAAATCCTTCTTCCCAACGCTTGAAGATTGTGGACTAAGCAAATGCATTCACACACACAAAAATCTGGACCATCTGGTTTGATTTATCTTTGTGGTTAAAAAGACTTTTTCTACAAACACAATTCTATTTCACATATGGCTACCTAACCTATGCCAGATATGAGCTGCATACAAAGCTGAACTATACATCATTTTTAAAATGCCAGTCCCCTAATGACATGTTCTTGCCTCAAATTTAACCCAATTTAGCATAATCTCCTGAGTAACAAAGCTCAGAAAAAAAATTACAATAGTCAACTTAATTAGACATTTTTGAATAAAAAAACCCCTATGGTTACATTGCTGTCCACAGTATGTATCAAAAAGCTTTCTGCCGTAAGGAGTATCTACTGCAGTGGATTTAGAAACAAAATTCCAAAGCATTAGCCATCCTCTTTAAATTGCTTCTGAAAGGTGAATCAGATAGCAACTCTGAACTGCCGAAAAGCTGGTACACCAACCATTAAGCACTAATGTAACAGGCACAAATTAGGACAAACGGACTTGGATTAGTAACAAGACAGAAAAGTATTGCAAAATGAGCATTCCGAATATCCCTATAAATTACTACTACTGGAGTTAAATAAATCTAATTGGGTTCAATAAGTAAGTGCTTCTAAAAATGCAACACCATCTACTGAAAATGTATCTTTTAAATTATACTTTTGTTAAAAAAAAAAGTTTTGTTGTTAATAACTTGGGACTTTAATAGAAAATTAGTTTTGTGAAAAAAATTAAATTCAAAGATGTCCTCCCAAGCAAAAATTATTCCCACTAGAAAGGAATAATATAAGAATACATTTCCCTAAATGTATACAACATAGATATAGCCTGAGCACAATGTACTTTTATTAATAATTTTAGAAATTATGGTGTAAGCTCCTTCTTTAATGACACACGTGGGCTAGTACAGGATAAGAAAATCTAATTGAACTGTTCTGTTTTCAAAAGGAATGCTTATATTAAGTGATTCTGTAAGAAGAATTTGCGTTTATTTATTAGAAGACAGTTGTCTCTCACTGTACTGTGTGCAGTGGTAACTCAGTGTCACATGCTGATCTGTTGTATAACATCTTCACACCTGCAGAAGCCACGAGTGATCTTGAATAATTCAAACCACAGAGCTAGATGCCAGTTCTGTCGCTTCTTAAATGAGCCCTAAAAATTGCACTAACCGTGGACAGTTTTATTTTACAGTAAATATATACTGCTGTGTCTGCCTTCTCAGAGACAAATACCAATAGATAGCAATACCAAATACCAATACCAAATAGCTCCAGAAAAAGGATAGAACACCAAGATTGTCAGACAGAATCACTAACAGGACCCATCTCTCCACTACAAAAATATTTATGAACCTGAGAAGCTGTAATTAATCACCCAGTCACTGCTACCTAGCATATACCAGTTTTGCAAAACTGCAGTATTTCCAAGAACATTCAGAAAAACTGAAGTAATTGTCCCTATTTTAGAACAACACGTCAGGAACAATATCAGATTGCTCAGTACTTGAGATTTCTCAATATTAATACACACTTTGACATTTACAACCTCACCTTCAGTAAGACTACCACTAGAGAAACTGCCACCACCCAGAAATGGAAACTAAAACAAAACTAAGAAAAAGTAACATCCCCCACCCTGTGCCAGCAAAACACGCAGCATGCATTACTTGTAAAATCTACATTTGCCAACTCCATGGCAAACAGCTTCCTCTTTCAGCAATACACTTTAAGTGGCTGTGGCTTATGGAGCTCTTCCTCTTCAGTCTATAAAGGAATGGAAAACATTCCAGTACTCTGCTTAAACTGTAAGCCCATGATCTCTGAAGGCAAGGTTTCCTGGTCAAATGGGATTGTTCCCTTAAAAACACTACGCTGTCTTTGGATATACAAGATAAAATTTTTTAAAAGGTGTAATTTAGTAATTAAAAAAGGAAAACCAAACCACCTTATCTCACTTGTGTACCCTTTGAACACTGATCAGATGTTGAAATGTAAACCCAGCAATATTACTCCCTTTCCCTTTCTAGGTAGGCTGAGGGAAAAATTCCTTGGTAAGTTTTCATGCATGCTTGTATTTATGTGTAAGTTACTAAGAAGTCATTTAACTCAATAAGTGTTGTATTTAGTCAAAAAATCATACGATCAATTGTCATTTCTATTTAGGAAAGAACCCCATTATCTACATCAAGTTCCACTAAGAGCTCTGTATCTTCTATTAAAAGC